TCTGCCCCTTTTGTTATACTTGTCTATTTCACTTCTGTCTTCTCCAATTTGTTGTGTTTCCTCATCTCTCGGATTTCCTTTTCACTGCATCATAGAAAAATAGCACTGGAAAGGACCTGAAGAGGTCATGTAGTTTGTCTCCTCCCACCAGGCAGGATCAGTTGTCCCTATATCATTCTTGGCAGATGTTTATCTAGCTTGTTCTTTAAAATCTTCAGTGATGGAGATTTTCTGACATCCCTAGGCAACCTAGGCACTTTTCCTTAACACTCTAAAAGGTCATCCTGATGCCTGACCCTAGCTTCCCTTACTGCAATTTAAGTTCATTCTTTTCTTCTCCTTTCCATTAAGTCCATATTTTGCCCTTGCTGTTTGTCCAGACTCTCTGTAAAACCAAGTAGCAGCTCTGTTATGATACAAGGCAATATTCTGTCCAAAATTTTCTAGATTTCCACTTAGTTTCTTTCTCTTTCCTTATTTTATGCTGGTTTAAATACCTGGTTACCCTTTCACTTTTATGCAGCTTTCTGGATGCAGAGAACAACATCCCTGATGTCATAAGACCTTTAACACAGAACATCCCAAGCATAGGAATACCCTACATACATAATTTAAGAACAAAATTTAGTCTTACAGACCTAATTCTTTACCTCTGCATTTATCAGTCAATACTATCTTCACTGTTGACAGTAAAGAAATATAAATAAAGCCCTTTGCAGTTTTCAGTTTATTCTTATAAAGTATTATGATGCACTTTTCCCTTCTCATATTCCCTTCATCCCTCTAGCTGTAGTGTGCATACACATATTCCTGCCAGATACGAATCATGGGTCCATACAGTCATCATTCTGGCATGTCTACTATATCCATTTACAAAGAATGGCGCATGCAGCAACTGTTTCTGTAATTCCTGTGCCTCCTTCTGTCTTTGGATGGAAAATGCACAACAGTCATAAATATAATTCATATCATACATACGTGTCCAAAATTGAGAAAAGTCAGGTATTGTAAGTACAAATGGATTCTGTCATCTAGAATCTAATTCATAATCTAATCGTTGTCTCTCCTTAAGGCTATTTCTGGAGTGGAAATTATAGTGTATGAAAATAGAGAGTATTTTAATGCAATTTCATGCCGTAGATAACAATCATTGTTTTTTAAGCAGGACATTTACAGCTTAACATCATCTGCTGTAAAGCAGAGGGTATGCTGGAAATTATGTAGGGAGTTAAACATGGAATCCTCCCTCAGTCTTTGCTGAGGTCTTAAGGTGATTCCTCAGCCTCTTCAACCCCATTGCTCGCTTCTCCCTCGCAAGCAGTGAGTTAGAAACCAACCTCTAAACATCTCTTATATATTGCTGTAACTTTACCTAAGGTTACTGTGAATCCAAACTTCACTAGCCATACTCCTTTGTGCCCAGCTAAATTATGAGAATTTCTTATATTTGTTTAAATATTTCTGGACCTTCAACAAGAAAGTTGCCAAGCTTTGGGGTATTCCAGTTACTTTAAAAATATATGCACAGTACAAAACGTGCAGAGACTCAAACACTTTCTAGACTCAACCATCATATTGTGTACATGCTGCATAGTGACTTTGACTTTGTGCATGCCTTGATGCAGAGCTGAAAAATGCAGAGTGCCCTCTCATTCTAGAGCTTCCTGGAGGTGTCAGTTTTACTGTGCAAGTGCTCAGTGGTTGAACTGTTAAGTGACTGTATGTTGTAACATAGCTGGAAAATGTTGGATTTGCTTTCTCCCTGAGAAATACTGATGGAAATGGTGTAGAAGCATTAAAAAAATTATGGGTGGAAGGTCAAGGTTCAGCAGTCCAACCTGCTATTCACAGGTGGAGTAGCTATTCCGGTTTTTAGTTAATTTGGTCCTCACTACTGTCATAGAAACCCACAGATTCCACCAGTAATCTATGTCAGTGTTTCACTGCCACATTAGATAGCTTTTCCCAACATCTAATTTGAACCTTCCAGAGAACTAGGCCCATTATAAGATGAATAAAGGACAGAATAATTATGTCCTTTTTTCATTAGCTATGCCTATATTTAAATCAGGTATCATATTCCACTTGGTCTTCCCTCGTTTATATTAAACATGACCAGCTAATTACAGGTTCCTTCATAGGCCTCAGTAAACTCCCAGGCTTTCATCCATTCTAGTTATTTAACTCCAGTTGGTCCAGATTTTAATGCATTCTAGAACCTAACTGTGGCACCCTGCTCTACGAGGTCTTTCCAGAGCTCAGCAGAAAAGATGCCCTTCACAAGCACTGCAGACATCACTCCCACTAACATGGTTTGGTACGGGAACTGCCTTTACTTCGCTTTTGCAACACCACAGGTTTGCAGCCAGTATGTTCAAAGCACAGAAGCATTTTGATTCCTAATCCTCTAATCCAGCCTGTCAAAATTTTCCCCCGGCATGTCATCAGCATGTATATTTAGTAAAGGTATTCTCTGCTCCGTCATCGAGGTCATTAAGAAAATATTGAGTAGTGTAGAATGAGGACAGATTTCTGTGAAGCACCATGTATGTGCGCATTTTTCCACAGATACTTCATCCTCAGTTTTGCTTTCCAAATACTTTGGCATTCATTCTGCAGCAATTTCACCTAAACTATGCTTTCTTAGATTATAAAGAATGTCACATGAGGGAGTGTCAAGACACTTGTAAAGTCAAACCACCTACTGCTTTTTCCCTGTCCACAAGGCCAATTACCCTGTCTTAGAGGGAGATCAGATTGGTTTGACACAGTTTGTTTCTAGCAATCCAAGTTGTCTGTCACTACCTTGTTCTCTTGCAAGTGCTTACAAATTGTTTGATTATTTTCTTCAGTACTTTTCTATGGTTGAAGTTTAGTTGACTGGACTATAATTTTGCAGATCTTTCTCTTTAAAGATAGCTGCTGCATTTGTTCTTCCATCCTTGCAGATAAGCACTAGCATCTCTTAGACTGTTCCACATAGTGTGAAAGCGTCTAACTCATGTAAATACAGTACTTATCTTCCCTTGCCTGTGCTGACATCCTTAGTTTTGCCAGAGATTCCCTCAGACAACAGACCCAGACACCAAACACCTGCCTGTTTCTGAAAGCTGCAGTCTGGATGTGATGTGAATATGATGCATGGGCAGGCAGTCCACTTCTTCAGTGTTCAGAAGAGGCCAGCCCTTATAGTGGGATGTTTCCCTAAGAGAAGATATTATAAAAATACTATCTGAGTTGGGAATTCTCTATAGATAAAATCCAGCTGCTAGGGAATTTTTTTAAGATGCTCACTCCTTGCATGAGTTTGAAAACTGGGAGCTTTTTAATCAGCTTCTCAACTGTTATCCCCTTGATAAAGTGCCAGTTATATTTTTAAATGTACTTGAGAAAAAAAATCCTAGATATAACAAAATGCTCTTTTTATTAATCCACAAGGAAATCAGAATACACTAAAACTGGCCAGATAAATAATTATATATAAGTATACAAATTTTAAGTATAAAATAATTATACTTATAAATATAGTATAAAATAATTATACTTAATTATATAACTTTAATATTTATTAAAGGTTAAATCAAAGTTTCTTCCTTCATTTTCTGTTATATTATTCCATGTAGAAGGTAGAGAAATAAGTTGAATTTTTTTCCATTCTTAACAGACTCTAACAGGAATATTGTCATTAAAATAGTTCATATATATTCCACAAAAAGTGTCATCTTGAATGTGAACAGTGTGAACAGTGAACCTTTATCTACAGTTTTATACAATTTGTTGTCTATGTAGCATCAGACATTTCTGTGTTGTGCTGGGAGGATAATACATATAATTTGAGTGTTACTAATGAATGTAGCTCCTTTTCTAAAGTCATTTTTTTTGTTAGATATCAAAAAAGAAAACCTCATACTCCTTGGCATTCAAGAAATAGATTTTAATTACTGACTTCAAGTAAGGCCACATAGACCTTTATCTTTTCCCTTGTAGAAAATGCAGATAACAGCTGCAATGAAGTGAAGCCTTTTTAGAATATGTTTACAATCTTCTTTGATCAATATCAAGAATCAACATAAAATAAAGGTATATTAAACAGCAGTCACCAGAGTGTATCAGACCTGTATTACTATATTCTTATGCTCTGAAAAGACTGTACTGGACTACTAGAATCCAATTCAAAACTGTACAGTCCATTGTGTGCCTTTATTTTGTAGAGAGACTGCCCTTTGAATTTTCTGAGAGTTTTATGTGAAAATCGGTACCAGAGAATGTTCCTAGATTTCAACGCCACATGAAATCCTATTATAGGCAGAATGGATTGATGGTTCTTTCCATTCCCCTAGTAAACAAACAAAGACTACACTCTTGTAATATTTATTTTAAAAATTTAGAAAGTCAATTCAGGTATCATTTGCATCTACCATACTTACTAGCCTTTTAATGTGTCTTAGTGGATACAATCTTGATGTGGATGGAGCTCAGAAGTTTTTGTGGGTCTTTTAGTCAAAGACAACATATCCGTTCCCATGATTTTTGCTTGTTTGCCAGGTATGATGTCATAAAACAAATCACTGATTCCTGTAGAAAAGGGATTTTGGTTCAGTTTATATGCTCTTCCCCATTCCCACTCTTCTTGGCACTGATCCTGCAGTATGAAAGGACCTCTGTGAAACAATCCTGATTTCTATGAGAATCCATGTAGGGAACAAAATTCTGGTTTCAGGAGACAGAAAACAGGTAAGGATATGTATTTAATAAATCAGAATCCTGCTGTAAATGTCATAGGTCTCTTATCACCCATTTCAAAAAAAGTATTTACCTTCTAATTAGACAATATTCTAAACACCTCAGATTGCTGCAGCATTGTCACTTGAATAAAGCCCATGGTATTTAATACTCCTATGTGATTTGCTCCCCAGAAGTAGATGGGTGTGATGGTGCATTGCAAGTTTCCTATTACTGCTTCACTTTCTAAATACCTATTTTTACATTTTAACATGTAGCTCCATCAGCCTTCCCAGACGCAAGTGGGACAAGCAGCTTCACAATCCAATCTCCTACATTTGGCTCACAGTCAAGCATCTATGTCTCAAAGCCCAGTGCGTCAGGCTTCCTCTTCTTCCTCCTCATCCTCCTCCTCTTCAGCTTTGAGTGTTGGCCAGTTAGTCAGCAGTAAGTATTGCTCCCTGGCTTTCCTTAATTCTTCCTTCTGTTTGTTCTCCTCGCTGCTGAGTTTTCCAATCTCTTTTCCCTCCTTTTGTTTTTGTTTTTTTTTTAAATATAGTAGATTGTATATTGCAAAATAGCTGACTCTCACCAGTGAGAATTACTAAGTGTTTTCATGGATGGGGCTTAAGGTAAACATGCCTTGAGAAATTTAATCAATGTTGAAAATGGTCATAAAAATAGGAGCAGCCATTAATTGACTCATGAGGACAATTGTTATAACTGAAATGTAGTTTAAGCTTTTTGGAAGTTAGAAGTTTTTGAATCAGTCAATATAATGGATTACATTTCTCAGAATTTGGTTGGCAAAAAGGTAGTCCTACTTTTGGTTAAGCTGCTTGTTTCTTTGCTTGGTTGATATAGCAAACCATTTTATAAAGCCTAATATTGCACAAATCCAGAGTGAGAGATTTTCTTGCCAAAAAAGCTTGCAGCACTTAAACAAGAATGAACTGGAACATGATGGGGAGAAGGGAGAAGTACACTGCAGTGAAATAACTGAGTTCCAGTGTTAGAATTATAACAGCTGACCTGAACAGCACTTTCTTCCAGATTGCACAGTTGAGAGTCTTTGCTATTACCTTATCAGCATTAACTTGGTCTTCACATAGCAAAAACCACAGGCTGACAGTATACATAAGAAGCACTAACAGTTTTTGCACATCTGCAAAAATAAAATTGATTTGTATGACCTTTTTCTATAATACTCCATGTACATATTCTAAGTAATCAAACACTATAGCTTATGACATATTGGTAGTGAAAAATATATGACTGATACAAGCTTATGAGGAGCTTGGAGAAACTGTCGTGCAAGGAAAGATGTGAAAAAATCTTGGTTAAATTATTTCAGAAATCACTTACATGGGGAAATTACTAGTAGAGCTATAGTGGTAAAATTATGCTGATGTAACTCCCAGTGGGAATACTTTTGTTCTGGAATGAAAATATCTGCATATAGATATAGATATAATTATAATGCTATTGCACTGTCACTAGTAAATTTTCTCATGTAGACATGCTTGTAGAAGGAAGACAAGAGGTTTTACATTACAAATACATAAAATATACCTCTAGTCCATGTGGGCAAATTGAGTAAAATACCTGGTTCAGAGTATTTTTCAACAGCTAGTCTAGAATAGCTACTCATTTGGACATTCTTATTCAAAATAAAGGCAACATGGAAGGAGCTTTTTTAAGATTACAGGATAAATCCATCCAAACTTAGAAAATACTTGAAAAATAGCTGTTTGTTCAACTGTATGCAATTACTCTTAGAACATGTATTTCATTATAACAATATACTGTTGTGATTAAAATCATTTGATCATGATTTTTTTTTTCCTCATCCTTCTCTCAGTGCATTCCCAGGGGAATTGTCCTAGGGATGTATCAGAATCACTTACACAACAGGTGCGCTGTTGTTCCCCGGTTTACCTGACTAATCTGTTCCCCAGTTTGTGTAACATTTGAGGTAGGAAGCTGTAGAGGAGTGAAGGATGGTCTTGCCTGAGGCAGTAGAGGACTGAGGAGCTGAAGCCTTCTGTCTGCTATGTAACTCAAGTGCAAGGCAGACAAATCACTTAAAAGGGATTTTTCACAAGTGCTCCCTCAATATCCAGCTTGAGACTCCGGACTTTAATTTACAGAAGAACCCGGTACTCATAGTTGCAATTTTAAGTGCACTTTCATAGTGGGACTGTATCAAGAACCATTTACAGACAGTCTAAAAAATCATTTCCTACTTGACCTAGACTGGGTACCCAAAACTGCTTCTTCCCTTAATATCTGTCCACTTCTCTGTGAATGAGAAGGGGAAGACCCTCATCTTGTAGAAACACAAGAAAATAAATTAAGGTTTTAAAGAAACCAGAAGAGCTCAAGAGGAGATGTCTTTAGTGAAGAGCTTTAATAGAGGTCTGGGGCCACACACTGAGCAAGTAAAAAGGCAATACATCAATCAGTTTGTCTGTAATGAAGGACAGTTCATCCTGTGCACTGAATGAGGCACATGAAAAAGAACTGATAATCCAGGGCTCAAAGACTATGGTACACTGTGTTGTGGGATGCTGTAACTCCAGTATTTTGTAACTTCTGAATGTTAATTTGTGCATCTCTAAGGGTGTTCTTATAGCTTTATTTTTTGCAAGCATTTTTTGCTTCATTTTTTTCCAAGGAGCTGCACTTGGAAGTTAACTCAAATTTTCCAAAAGAAAATGTTATTGATAGGGATCTCCTGAACAAAATTCCACATTAAACATAAATAAAGAACTTGTGGAACTGTTTTGAGTTTATGCTTCCAGCTTCATTCAGTCTCTGATGTTCAAGACTAACAGAATGAGTAGCATGAGGGGCAGATCAACTCACTTCTGCCATTTACATAGTAACATTACATAGATAGAAGCAAACCAATCATCCCAATTATCCCTAAAGGCAATCCAGCATACTCCTGAGAGCATGTAGCTACCACAATCTGGAGCTAGCACTGTATGCCTAAGCCTGCTTGAGCTGCCACATCAGGAATAGTGTTGCAGGGCACAACAGAACTACCTACTGTCTTCTAGTAACGTGGAAAGAGCTTACAAGAAAGAGGAAAATATGGTCAGTTTAGTAAGGAAAGATCAAACCATCTGTGCAATGAAACATGAAAAATCAGAGGGGATCCTTTATAGCTTTTCCTTCTCAGTGATAAACCAGTGATAGATACTGTTTGGATAAATAATATTAAATGACCTTCATGAGTTTGAAAATTGTTTCATGTGACTGAAAAGCCATTTACACAAAACCATGGCTGCATATGAGAATGTAGATAGAAAGTCATCCTTGTTTTGCTTCTTTACAGAATCTTTTTGGTTTCCAGATACAGATCACTGAAGGGCAGGAGCACCTCTCTGTGAAGCCTGTGGCCTTCTTAGCATCCCAGGTCCCACACTGGCTGCAGACCTTTGTATGAAAGGCCTACAATTGAAATGCAGTGTCTGAAAGTCTATTTAAAGTCTTTTAGTGGGATGAGACAGGCAATGTTTCCACAAAGAGAACATACGGTGGAAAAGTTAAAGAAATGAGCAGAGGGATGCATTTCAGAAGAGGAAAATGAAATGGAAAAAAATGGAGGAATAAAGATGTAGAATTGAATGAAGAGAAAATAAAGAAGACAAAAGAGAATACAAATAGGATTAGACAGTACAAAGAAATCATACAGAAGGGACAGAAAGAGTTGAGATGAATCTTGCAGTCCTTGCTTAAACAGAACTTATTTTAAAGTATTTCTTATTTGGAAATAACTCCAATTTTTTATTTGGAAATAACCCAACAAAAACAACAAAACAGGTCGGTGTTTCTGAGAGAAGTCCTTATGCATGAGGGCAAGAAACAACTTGTGGCCTCCTGAATCTATCTTTGATTTCTTTATTCCTCCTGAGGTAGGAATATTGCTCTCCTTTCCTAATTCCTTACAAAACTGTAGTCCAGACCTCTGGCACAGGTCCTGGAGCTGAGTACCTTGGCAGAGATTTGCTATAGAGCAGAAGTATTTGCTAAATATAGTAAAGTTTATGTAAAACTAGTCACATTTAGCCACTTGTTCAGTTAATAAAATTGCGTAGAGCATCCAAACTTCAGCAGATAATTATTTGGAGCAAGCTTCTGCACACTGACTGCAAAGAGAGTAACTCTTCCACAAGACATTGCTTCATATCAGAGAAATTATTGAAGTACAAGGAGAAAGTCATAAGAACTCTATTAACTGTACTAGGTTTATTTATGAAATAAACCCATGTTCCTTGGATTTATTACTTTTAGTCTTCATTCTAGTAATATTTTCTATATGATTTTCCTTTTTTTTCTTTTACATGTTTCCTAATTTCAAATAAGTTTCCTTACTTTTTGTTTTTGATTTCTCTTTCTTTTTTTATTTCTTTTTTCCCCCTTTATGTTGTTGTCTTCTTTATAGCTTTTCCTTTTTCTCTCATTATCATCCCTTCATCCCTAAGAAGTAACAAGTGATAATTATTTTGGAGACAAAGCGTAAGAGTTATTTCCAAATAAGAAATATTTTTAAATAAGTTCTGTCTAAGCAAGGACTGCAAGTTTGATCTCAACTTTCCTGTCCCTTCTGTATGATTTCTTTGTAGTGTTTAATCCTATTTGTATTCTCTTTTGTCTTCTTTATTTTCTCTTCATTCAATTCTACATCTTTATTCCTCCATTTTTTTCCATTTCATTTTCCTCTTCTGAAATGCATCCCTCTGCTCATTTCTTTAACTTTTCCACCGTATGTTCTCTTTGTGGAAATCACTGGTTTCCCCTTGTGCTCTGAGACTTGTGTCTCCATGACATTCCTTTCTTCCTCCCAAATTCATTTTACTGTCATCTGTTACTATGAAATTAAAATGCCTCCCATAAACAAATTATTATTCTTTTTTTTCCCCTGAGCTCCACTCCATTTTCCATTATCAATGTTTTGTCCTGCCTTTCTTATCCAATTTACTTTCCATTGGACCTCCTCAGCCAGCTATTTCTCCTCCTCTCTGACTGGGGAAATCATCCCCCTGTAATCCCTCTTATGGCAGAACTCTGTGCAACAGAAATTTGGTTTCTCCTTAGGGGTGCATTGATTTCTCTGTAGCAGCTCTTTCCCCTAACTATTAAAATCACAGCATATTTTCACTCAACAAACTCACACAGGATTTTCAGAAGAATTCAAAGGTGGTAGAAGTATTCCCTTCAGTAGGAAAAAAAACCAGATTTCTATGCAGGAGGGTCTGTGAATTTAATTTCTCCCATACCGCTCATCTGTCTTCCCCATCCACCAGGATGGCTGGTGGAATTTTAGCTGTCTTCCTTTTTGTTATATGCACCCATATCCTCTGAAATGATCCAAGACAACCCTCTGACCTTTCTCCAGCACCCAGTAGTTTCACAAGCAGCCTCTGTTTTCTCAGACTCCATGAAAACATGGAGTCTTGAAATCCATTACCATAGATCCCAAACACTCAATGGGTTTGGTGTTCTCTGTTTACCTGTTGTCACTGGGCAGCCTTCCCTGGGATATCCACTTAATTGAAAAAGAGTGCACTTATTTACTGTCTTCAATAAGCTACTCCTCCTGAAATGTGAAGTGCATTATATGTTCAACTGTTTTGAAAGCTCAGAACTTGTTAAAACAAAGTCCATAACTCTTTGAATATGTTTATGAATATGCATGTTTAGACCACACAGTCTAAGACTGTATTGATGACATTTTAATGCACTAGTGTAAAACAGACAAATGATGGTGCCAATAGAATGGTCTTCATAGCACTATTTGTGTTTTAGGGAGGTGACAGAAGACAAGATCCGTGGATTTCAAAGGGCTTTGAATCACATCCAAAGTAGAAGTGATTCCAATTTCACACAAATGCTAGTTCAAGACAAAACATTTCATTGTTTCAGTCCATCTGTGAGTACTTTCCTGTTGCCAAAGATGCTATGAGAGAATGAAGCCTTTAGGACTCAACAGATATTCCACTGTATACTATATTCCCATATTACTGAAGGGCATCACAGATTTTTTTTCTCATCTCAAGGAGAGCTCAGCCTAATATTTCCCTCATCCAAGTGCCGCAGGCAGGAACAGTCTTTCCATGATGCTCACTGTTGCAACAATGTCAGATCATTCTAGATCCAGCAGAACTTGGCAGAATTTCTCTATAATTTCTCTACAATTCATTTTCTCACTTCCCTTTTTATTCCCAACAGGAGTTGGGGAGGATTACAGGTGCCATAGCTTGCAACTGTAGAAGTTCTCTGGCAACTGAATTATCCTTTGTTACATTCCTAACACCCTTAGTCAGAAGCCTTAAATAAACAGAAGGAGAGAGGTGAGGAAAGTGACCATTTTAGTGTACTTTGCTCAGGGGAGTTTTTGAGGCCAGTATCATTTATGATATTTAGTAAAGAGACCTAAAGTCAGATCAGTCTGCAGCTCCATTCTGTGTCTCTGAAATTCAGAACTGGTATGCTAGATAGATGATATGGTGTAAGCAGGAAAATTCCATGCTTCTAAAGGCAATTACTTTAGTTTACTTATAAACTTCAGTGGCCACTGTCAAAGCACTTACTCCTAAATCAAACGATATGCACCCTAGCTTTGTACTGAGTGCATGGGTGTGCAGGTGACCACAAGTACAGCAGTGAGAACAGCTGAGATGATTCTGAGTGTGGAGTATCGTTGAAACAAGGTTCAGCCTATGTGCATGTTTATCTGTATTCATAGTTCATGTGGTCCCTGGTTGCATACACAAGAATATTAAAAATATTATTGCCATTTGTGCTTCTTAAACTCAAGCAACAAGGTAAATTTATATATCAGAAAACCTTTTTCCCTCTGTCTATTACTGGACAAAAGGATTTTTTCATAGGGTGTTTCCATCACTATGAAATTTTACACAAAGCTTATAAACCCCTGAAAATAAAAGCTTTGCTACTGTAATGCTGATAAGCCCTCACTAGAGCCATACTAGCAGGAGCCATTCTCATATAAGGTTCAGAATGGTAATGTAGTCTAGCACTGTCCTTGGACAACTGCTTGCATTTATAGAAATTGAGGGGTTATTGTACTGCAAACTTTTCACCTCGGGGTCTGAGGAATGAGGTGAAGAACAATAGAGATGTCTCACTGGGAGAATGGCTTCACTACATGCAGGATTGCACAACACTTTGAAATCTTCTACCATCCAAGTCCCATGCTGTCTCTGACTTGGCAAACACTTTCATTTAGTCAGGGATCAGTAGCTTGGGAGGGGGTGAGGGGTGGAAGTTCCATTCTCCAGCTGTTGTGTCATTTCCCTTGATAAGTCCTAAATTGACCGAGTTATCCAGCTCCAAAGGAGCTTTTCTGTGGTAGACATGCTTTATTATGTGCCCTTTCAGGGACAAAGGCTTCTGTGTCAGTACACTGCTATAGAGAGGAAGGATAGATTTATTCTCACAGCATCATAAGCATTATCTTCTGAGAGGCTAATGTAAAAGTAAAAAACTGCGCAGCATTACCATCCAAACCCAGTGTTGCTGCTCCTTGATTATCTACCTGATGGGAGGCAGAAAAGAAAGCTTGAAAGGCTGCTTCTCAGAAGGGCATATTTTAAAAGACAATTATTAAATTAAGGAGGTTTTAAAGGCAGAATTTTTTTAGGCTTGTTCATTTGCTGGGTTATTTGGACATTCATGTGGCAGTTTAGGTTGGGTATTGTGTAAAAGGGAAGAAATAGTTGTGAATCTCCTTATTTGGCATTAACTTTATGTAAAGTACAAAGACTTGATTTCAAGTTAAAAATCCAAGCAGCTCATATATATATATAGCCTTCCCCACAGACTGGAAATAAATTTATTAACACCAACCATCGCGTTATGTGATAAAAAGGGAAAACAGGGAACATGACTCCTCAATCCAGAGGAGACTTTGCAAGGCATAAATGGCAGCAAGGAGCCCAGGCACACCCTCCCTAAAAGGTGAGCTGGCCTTTGTCAGGAGTTCAACAAAGGCATATCTTTTGGAAATCTTCCACCTGCAGACAACTGCAGCCCAGTTAGCATCTTAGCAATCTGAACACACCTGACAAGGCAAGTCTGTTTCTGTTTGGGGAAGAAGAGAAAGGCATCAGTATTAAAAAATTGAACTTTAAAGTTTTGGTGATGAGAATGGCTGTAAGCCTGTTCCACTGATATGTGATGCAAAGAACTGACATGATTTAAAAAATATCTCAACAGATCCTCAGACAGCCACTGGAGAAGTGGATGGGGTAAATCTGGAAGAAATACGAGAATTTGCCAAAGCTTTTAAAATCCGGCGCCTGTCCCTTGGCCTGACACAGACTCAAGTTGGCCAAGCCCTGAGCGCCACCGAAGGCCCAGCCTATAGCCAGTCTGCCATCTGCAGGTAACAAGTTACATCATAAACTCCTTTCTTTGTCCTTAATAATGATCCAGCTTCTGAGGAGCATGCTTGTGTTTGAGTCTCATAACTTTAGAGCATTATTTAACCTGATATTTAAATGTTGTTATCTGATACATAAATTGTTCTTATTGTGTATCTTTAGTGTGATTTTGGTTTCTTTTTTATTCCTCATTTTCTAAACAAGTGAGAAACAATGTTCCTGGCATAGAGACTTAATTCCATAGATGAGTTGGAGATCCTGCTGATGCTCAATAAGCACCAGCTGACCCTCTTCATACTGTGCCATTTTCTACAGATAGGGTTACTGAACAAATATTTCATGGCTGCATCCCTGCTAAGTTAAACCTGTATTACTGTGGTTAGCACTTCACATAGGGGATGTTAATGATGATTTACCTAGGCAACACAGAAGGGGAAAAAATAGCTTTCCTGCTATCTTGCAAACCAGCAGCTATTCATCTTTTATCACCCAAATATTTACTGAAATAAACCCAGACAAACCCATGTATGCAAAGCAGAAGACGAAACCTGTCCTAATCATAAGAAATAATAATACAGTCTTGACAGAGTTAAAGTAGAAGCAAATACCTTTATATATGTATGTGTATTACAGCAATCCTATATTTATGCATGAGGTAACAAACGCACTTAGGTAACAGCTTTTTCCTCTTGGGCAATGCCTTATAGCCCTCCATCAATGAAAGCCAAGAAACCAACTCTAAGCTCATTTAAGTGGATTTTGTTCTTGGTGATCCATGAAATGCTCTGTCTTTTTATCTGCTCTTTATACTTTTAATGTATTCCCCATAGAATGGAAGTGTACTTTTCCTGCAGTTAAAGACTAGGGTTATAAATAACATCAGTATGGGGTAGTGTGCTTGCAGCTCACATTTTGCTCAATGATTTTCCATAAAACCCATTGATTGTTGTTAAATACAAAAAGCTCCATAGGATCCTCTCACTTCTATGGTCTCCCCTACTGTTTTTTCTTATAAGATACCTCCCTGTTGAAAATAACCTTTATTCAGTCTATACAAGGATACTACTGCTGGGAAATTTGTTTCAAGACTTGTATGTCGTTATACCAAACACATCCTGCAGTAACAACACTAACAAACAATGCCAATGATATGAATGCTATTGCTCCCTATTGCTAAGAATTCATTTTGATTTTGTATTACTTTTTTTAATTTCTTTGTGGTCAGTTGGTAAAGAGTGCCTAAAATTGGTGGAGCTTTTAGCAACTGGAAATTTATTGTAGCCTTAAGTTGCTGTTTATTGTGGTATGCTTTAAAGGAAGACATTGCTGTTTCCTTTACTTTTCCCTAGTTCACTGTCTTCTCATTTTCTCCATCTACTTCACACTTAGAGAAAGCACTGGGGATGGTGAGACCTTTTACAGAGGGCTCCTTGGAGGAGGAAGTTGCTCAGAAAATGAGAATGGGTGCAAGATCTTGTCCCAAATACTTGCAAGATTACAGGTTTTTTAAATTTCCTTTGCCCACCTCAGATGGACACCGTATTGGGGTGTAATTACATGCTGTGGCTGTGCATTTTTCACTAAGCTGCTTCAGTCGCACCATGTGTTCCTCAGAAATGGTAGATTTAACTTTTTTTCAGTTGTAACAAAGGAGTTTCAGTATGAGCTGCAGGTCAGTGGAAGAGGCAGTAAGGAAAGCAATTTGAACAACCAGCTCAAAAAGAAAAGTAGAATCTCCTGGTGGCCTATGCAGGTCATATGAGCAATATACCACCTTGATATGTTCTGCATGCAAATAGCAGCATTTTCTTCAATTTAAGACAATGCATTCTAAAACATATCCTTCAGCTTGAAATATCATTGGACACCAAGGAATGACATCTTGCAATCAATACCACATTACGATGTCAGGCACTAGTTACAATATCTTTGGCGTATCATTATCTGAAATTATTCTTGGTCTTATTCTTTGTGAGAAGTGCTTTGTTTCATGCTGGAATATTTTTTTGCTGCCTCCACATGCCGAATGGAGACACTAAAAATGTCCAGCTCCAGCCACCAAGTTTCCTGGCATAAAGAGATTGATTCAGTTCCTCTCATCTCCAGAGCACTCTGTGGTTAGTGGTGGTGGTGGTGCTTCAGCACCACCTGGGCTGGAGAGCACAGCAGAGACATCCAGTAATCGTTGCTTTTCTGCAGCATCCTCAACGTGCAGAGTGGTCAGAGCAAAGTGGGAAAATACAAATAGATGGCACCAAAGAACTTGGTTTAAGACTTTTTTAATAGCAAAAGAGGATAAACTCAGTAAATGAAAGAAACAAATACTTATAGGACTTGAAATGTGAACTCTGCTGTTCTGCTTGCTTTTGAAAGGATTAAAGCTTTGTGTGGCTGCTTTTCCAGATGTTTTATAATACTTGTAAAATCTGGTTTGGCAAAAGACTTTTGATGGCAAAATGATATATAGAAGACCTTATTTACAGGAAATGATATCATTCTGGTACAGTTTGCAGAAATCCCACAATAAACTCAGCTTGGTGCCACAGCATATTAGTGGACTGTTATGCTGGGTTTCATCTGGAAAACATGAGTCTGTCTTTGCACATTGTGGAGACAGCAAGATAATTGCAAAGTGTCCAGCTGTTTCAGCTGAACACAACCGTGGCTATGGGAATTTTTTTTCCAATACAGAAATGGGATATAACATTAATTTACAAACAGTGAAAATTGCTGAAAAATGGAAAGGAAACCTGATATTCAGATATGAGTATTTGCCATTGTTTTTTATTATTAAAACTGTGATGTTTAGATAACATGGGATGGAAGCGATAACAAAAGGATTAATCACAAAGACAAGATGATAAAAGCAATGCCTTTGATATCATTTCCTGCAATTAGACTTAGTCTCAAGGGTTTTGATGATCATCAGAATAATGAAAATGTGATTCTTAACCTGTATTATTTAGTGTACTTAGAATTTTGTTGTAGTGCTCATTTTGTGTTAGTTTCAATCTCTAGCTATATATATATCTATATCTATGTATAGATATACCTATCTGACAGTTTTCATAATCTACTGTAAATTACCTCTGCCAGTCAATTAGTCAGGCAGGCAGGAAGTCCCACCCTGGCAGAGCATCAGTGTAAGACTCTTCTTTCTCAATTTTCCCTCAGACACACCATCCTGAGAAGCCACTTTTTCCTACCACAGGAAGCCCAAGAGAACACTATAGCTAGCAGTCTGACAGCCAAACTGAACCCTGGCCTTTTGTATCCTGCCAGGTTTGAAAAGCTGGACATCACCCCTAAAAGTGCCCAGAAGATAAAGCCGGTGCTTGAGCGGTGGATGGCTGAGGCTGAGGCCCGCCATCGAGCAGGGATGCAGAACCTTACCGAGTTTATTGGGAGTGAACCATCCAAAAAGCGCAAGAGGCGTACCTCATTCACGCCACAAGCCCTTGAAATCTTGAATGCCCACTTTGAGAAGAACACGCATCCCTCTGGGCAAGAAATGACAGAGATTGCAGAGAAACTGAACTATGACCGGGAAGTAGTTAGAGTTTGGTTCTGCAATAAGAGGCAAGCACTGAAGAACACAATTAAACGTTTGAAACAACACGAGCCTGCAACGGCAGTTCCTATGGAGCCTTTAACAGACTCTCTGGAAGAAAACTCCTAAAAGCAAAACAAAAAAAGCCAAATCACAAAGAAAAAAACCCCACACCAACTGAAATGTGTCCATTTGAACTCTGTGAAAATACCTATTCATCACCCTTGTAAGTAAAAGACTGAGAAAACTACAAGAAGGACAGAACAGTTTATAAATGTCCGTGGGTTTTCCTATTTAGAAAAAAAAAAAAAAACTAAAAAAAAACCTTAAACAAAAAAATTACACAACACTTAGAGTGTGTGCAGTAGAATTAGTTCCCAAAAAAACCCGAAAAAGCCAGTTTTTTTAAATGGACTTAAAGTAAACCAAATAATTGCTTAATTTTTTCTGTATATTATGAAAATATTAATACATTTTAAGGAAAAACAAAACAAACAGCAACCAAACAAAAAAAAAGGAAAGGAAGAAAAAAGAAAAAACTTTTATCTGTTTAAAAGAGAATACAAGCCTGCCACCTGGAGGAATGATTGTAGCCTTTCAGGTATCAAGTGCTGATTCACTATGAAATCTATTAACCAAAGTCAGAAACATGGCATTGCAAACTAGATTGTTAGTCTACTCTTTCATGAGTGTAAAATTGTGTTACCAATTTTTACATTTGTATTTTGCAAAGAGTAATACAGGATTAATTTCTCTCACCCTTGTTTGTACCCCCTGCAGGTGTGTACAAAGCCATTCCGTAGTAGTCACCTCATTTTCTTTTCTTTTAGTCAACAGTTTTGAAACCTCCTGATGTTTGTGTGCCAAAAATAAGTACTTCTTATTGTGATTTGTGGGGTATGGTATTTCTCTTCTAAGGGTGTATGTCTTGTTTTGCATTTCTTTTTCTGTTTTTTTTTTCCTGATTCTATTTGCTGCCTCCTCCCTTCCATCTCATTCCCGACCCCTTCCCCAAGCCCCCTAAACCAGTACTGTTTGAAGATTTTTTTTTTTAAAAAGTGAAATCTGAACACTTTTATATGCTGGAATGCAATGAGGACAAAGAAGGATTAGGATTATATCTGATGGACTTTCAAGCCCACACTGAACATTGTGCTTTTTGTCGAATGTGTAGCTTGAGATTTCTCTGTCCTTTGGCCGTGAACCTGGAGAGGTTACCAAAACTCATTTTGTAGTATAAATATAAACTGCACACTTGGTACAGTACTGCATCTATCTTATGGTTCCATTTGAAGCAATTTCTCTCCAAAGCCTGCAAGCCAAAGAAATTTCTTGATGTTCTGATGAAAACAAATGGACAGGCTGAGAAGTGATGAAGATGTTTTGATCATTACATCACTATGGACAATTTTGATGGTAGTGTTTGATTCCTTCTGGTTTTTTTTAATGCCATATTGATGCTTGCCCTGTTGACTTCTTTAGTAGGAGGATGTATTTCTGCAGGTGTTTGCGGTGGCCACTGGCAAGACTAAGCAATTGAGAAAACAATTGGGACATAGAGAAAAACACTGAATATCTCTTGATAATATAAGGTAGGTCACCTGCAATATGATTCAGGTGAACTGATTTTTCTTTAAAGACAGTTTATCTCTGTGGCTTCTTTTCTGATTGGGCAAGCATCTACTAAAATACTGTGGTCATTGGACCTACAAGCATAGCAAGGCTCAGAGGCAAAGAAAGCTATGGCAGTTCTTGATGGGGTGTGGTCTGACCACATCAAGACCATCAAGATGATCCTGTGAAGGTCATCTGCAATCTTCATCTTCTGCTCAGTTATGCTCAAGCCTTTGGGATTCAGTTCACCATTAGTGTAGAAGCTGCATCTTTATGAGGTCTTCCCAAAAGATAACATCATATAATTCGTTCAGCTCACTGTAGAGATGGTAAAATTCTGCTGGTATAACTCCTGATTGCATTCCTTGACCTCAAAATGGTTATGCTGGATTTTTGGTGGTCTGCCTAGGATGTGGAAGGAAGTTCCTGAAGTGCTGGAGTCTTCAAATAACACCTCTCTTACTAAAGATTATCGAAAACTCCAGGCTATATCCAAAATTGAGTGAAAGAAAAAGACTTTCATTGATTTCTCTGTGCTTTGAATCTGGCCCTCAGTATTTTATTAATGAGATTTACCTTGTAAAGTGGGGTATTTATTACGTGGCTGGGGGAGCTTTAACATTTCAGAGGCCATCATCTGTACCAGAAACTGCTTCTAAATGGGAGCACTCTCAAAGGTCAGTGTTGGAGCACACTGAGGATCCAGTACTCCAGGATGAGCTCATGTCCAGCAAATGCATTTTAGACTTTATGCTTTAGCAGGGTATGTTTAGGATATTTTCGGTCTTGTGTTTATGAGGAGAGTGACAATTGTTATTGACTCTTTTTCAACTGTTGATATATAAATGATAGTTGGGGAAAAAATCACTTCAGTAACCACTGGCAAATTGTGAGGGACAAAATAGATGCTTTATCCAAGCTGAGCGTGTAAATTAAAGAGTCTCACAGCAACATCTGCCCCTCTGGGTTTTCTTTATACCCTCTCTCTCCATAGACAGCTAAATCCTCAGAAATATCTATGTAGTCTATATTGATCAGCCCTAAAGTTGTCACCACAGTTCAATCTACATAACAATCAGACCTCCATCCAGAAGCCAACAGGAAAGCAAGGATGAATAAATCATATTTGGAAGCAGTTACTCCTGAAATCCTACCCATGTCTCCAGAACACTCCTAATTGCCCAGTCATTAATGCCACATACAGAATTACATGTTCAGTCATCCTTAAGGCCATACCCTCCCCCACTCCATCCCCACCATCAACAGCCTGGGAACAAAACCATCAACCATTCATTGCCTCAAAACTAAATTTCCAATTCTCCCAGGGACTGCTCTAAATTCTGTGAAGAAAAATCCCCCAGGAAAAAAAAAAGTTAACTAAACACTGTATGAAAGATACTAAATGTTTAAAAATATGCTGGCAGCAGTTATATAAGCTCTTTTCTGTTCCAAAGTACATATCGGAAGGATATAACTAGGACAGTGAAAATGTAAAATAAATATAAATTGCCAGCATAGAAGAAAAAATAATGTTCATCCCACAGTCTTAAAATCATTCATGTGCAGTAGTTTTTTTTTACAGTTTTCTAATTTTGTATTATGTTTTGTAAATTATTTATAAAGTGTTGTAATGCTTCTCATATTAATTTTTTTATACACAAATTTTTGCTATGAGGCATAAATGGTGCCTGAACAGATTCTTAGGAAGATAAATGATATGTGAGTCATACATCTTTGGGAGGGCCATAAATATTTTGTTTTGTTATGTTACTGGCAACATTTCTGGTTCCCATTTGTAAACAATTTTCATGTACTGATAACATTTGAATACCTTTTAATTTTGCATGTGACTAAAAGATAGGTTGCTACCAGCAAATGAAACAAAAGTCTCTTTGGTCATATGTGAAGGTTTAATGGTTTTCCACTTTGTTGATAATTCATTTTTCTTTATATATATATATATATATATATATATAAATATTATTTGAATAATGAACCAAGGGTTCACTTCCTCTTCTAATTTTGTCTTTTTATGTTTTTCACTAAAAAGCTATTTTGGACAGTTGAAGAAGTAAAATGCATTCAAATGGTTCCAATTTCTTTACAATATTACTGAAAAAAAATTTTTAAAAAGCCAAAAAAGAAAAAAAAAAAGAAAAAAGAGAACAAGGAAGCAAAAAGGAGCTAGGAAGGAACAAGTAGAGGCGTATCAAAGAACTCAAGCTATAACCAAAAAGAAATATGTAAAATGCCTTTGCTCGTCTTCTCAATGCTGGACCAAAGCTCAATGTATGTAGGTATATGCACATTGTATAGATATGGCTAAATGTTGCTGACAATCTCGCAATACTAAACTGTTACTATTTTAAAAAAATACAAAAATAAAACTGTTCATCAGTGTTTTACCTCAGCACTCTACTTGTACCCAGTTATTGACCAACATTCAAATAAGAAGATAAGAGAGGAAATTGATTTCCATGTCAATGTTTGACTGTAAAATCTGTTTGGAAAACATTTTGTAATGAGCTTTTTGTCATGTGGTTTGCTTGTTTCCAACTTGAGACTATGTGGGGCACATTTGTTTATTAATTGTTAAGAAGTGATATTATTACTACTATTATTATTAATTATTATTGTTACTATTTTTTTTTGTCCTATGTGCTATAATCTACAAAATGGTCACCAGGGTCACTTACGAAGCACTGCAAAGAGATGTTTTTCCGTGCATGGAGCATGCAGGGGGAAAGATGGCAGTACAAAATGGACTGTATTGTGTTGTTTAAAAATATGAATAAATAAAAAAGGAGTGGATATGGTGGACTTGTGACCAAGAAAACAAACTGGATATTTAAAAGCTCCTTACTACTCTGACTTTGAAACCAAAGCTGATTTATCTGCACAGGTTGCTTAACATGAAAAAAAAAAAACTGACAAAAACTGTACTTAATCTAGAGCAATATCTGTATGGTCAGTAAAGCTGCACTTTGTGTATTTCTTAACAGCTTCAGATCTGTCACTTTTAATTTGTACCATAAAAAATAAAGAATTGTTTGACATGAAAAATAAGCTCCTTTCATGTGTTTGTCTTAAATCTCATGCATTATTCACGTTATCCAAGCTCGTGTAATTTCAAATCAGTTCAATGCAAAAATAGTTCAATGCTTGAAAAAAGGAAGAGAGAAAATCCATTTGCACTGTGGAGCATAACTTTATCTGCAAAACTAAACACTGTTTCTGTACCCAGAGGGGGTGCATGCATTGGCCATGTCTTATTTTCTCTTCAGGTACTGCAGAGTAGTGGCTGTCCCTTGGGAGTACTCTGGAACCCCCAGGTGAGCGTGTGTTATCCCCCAGGCCAAAGGGAGCAAAGTACAGATGGACACGAATGCCGGTGTACCGCCCATGCTTCCATCCACACTCCCATAACAAAGCCCTGGTAAGTGATGGGAGTGTCTTAGAGAGGCTGGGTCAGCCGTTTAGTGATTTCTCTTGCATTTTTGCAGAGCACATAGGGT